GAAAGGTTTAGCTAGTCCTGATTTGGTGCAGTCTAGCAGATTTGCTCATTTTAGAGAAGATGTTGGGATCATCAGTTCAGGAGTAACTGTACTGGTGGAAGCCATTCCTTCTAACAGCCTGGGAACAACTCTTCATTTACTGGTAGGACTGAGAATGTAAGGAAGGCTAGAAAAGTTGTGGTGGTAGGGGTCTCTCTTACTAAGAGAGTAAACAGGGTAATTTAACACTCTAGTCGCATCAACCGGACAATTTGCGGTCTCCTGGACACTCGGGTCTGCCACGTTGCTGACAGATTGAGGATTACTGGGAGGGGCTGGAGAGGGCCCAGCTGTCATGGTCTATATATATGTACCAATAGTAAAGTCAGAGGAATATTTTCAGAGCTATCACCTGTGCTGCGCTCTACAGCTAGTTGCAAAATTGGAAAGCACTCTTTTGGATGTGAGAAAGTCTGAACTTGATGGACGCAACTCTTTTTTTTTTTAACCTATATAACTATGTAACATTCAAATTAATAGCATTCCCTTTGATATGCAATGACATTGAATTGCCATTTTTGACCAAATGTCCATGTACGGGGCACAGTATATACTCATACTTACACATTTCTATACAGCAGCAATATATGCGATAGATTCCAAGTCACTGTTGTCATTGAAGAAAATCTCAAGCTAAACTAAAAAGTAATTCTATTCCTTCATATAGCAAATATGTGTTCAAAGCAGGACATTAAAGTGAATTATACTATGTCTATATCAGCCACATGTTTCTCTGTTCCAAGACAAAGAGAACTAATTAAACTGTGCTTCAAGGGATCCAACATTTCAAGAGACAAATAAAGTCATATCCACACTATTATTGGTAATAGCGGCCGGATAATACTGAAGGCACAGCAGCAGGTTTGCATTTATAGCCTATGGAAAATATCATTCCTTTTTTCTATCTATGATCACTTATTGCCGAAATGCTTTCTGAATGCTGAATATTTTGTGATGACTTGTCTGTGGTCTTTGAAACAGTCTTTTAAGAAATATGTTTTAAGTAAATTGCTTCCCCAGTTGGAACGTATTATAAAGTTAGATCCAAAATCTATATTTAAGAGAACTGCTTGGAGAAAATGCTGAGCTGACAAACACAGTTTGTATCTTTTAACAACTTATACATTAAAAAAACAAAACATGTAGTATTTGCCATAAATAAAAAAAATTTCACAATATCAAATATTTAAACACAAAAACAACAAAACTAGAAAAATATGCCATTGCAAAATGGAATTGTTGACAATTTTTTATTTTTTTTTGCAAATAGCTATTTGTACAATTCCGCTCTGTTCATGTACGGAAAATGTGATAATTATATGGTCTGGATGCCCATATCACTGACCTTGTGTATATGACTTTGATTAGCAGATGGAATTCAGCTTAAAACCCTTCTGGTTCTGAGCATCAAAGGCTGTCTGCTTTGTGGATCTAATGGATCAAGTTGTCACGGGGATTAGTACAGATAATCCGACACTCTCCAGGAATTGTTCACATGTCAATTCCTCCTGTATATATTATGTAAATATACTAACACAGATTATTAACTTGCTAATACGTCAAGACGAATACTCATTGCACAGAGGGTCACCTTTATGTCTATTTTAATGAGTTGCTGCTAATGCTATTTCTGTATTGTACAATTTTCTTTGTCTGTACATTATTCGGTCTATTTGAAGAAATATGATAATGGTTTAAGATCTGGGTATATTGTTGTGGTTTTTTTTTTTATGGAGGATTTTAGTACAATTTATGTATAGGCTCAATGTTGTAATATTTGCTTCTGATGACTTTGTGAAAATATGCTTGCTATATAAATACTAATAACTAGTAACGAGCTAAGATGACTCTTCTGGAATTCACATGTGTGTTTGCTGTGTGTGTGTGTGTGTCTCTGTGTGTTTATGTGTGTGTCTCTGTGTGTTTATGTGTGTGTACATAATCCCAGTGAACAGTTCTGTACATAAAACACAGTTCTAAAAGATCCAGCAACCGCTAAGTGCAGTTATATCTCTTATGAAACAAAGCTATAAAAGTATATTCAAATAGAACAATAATGAGTTTATAAACTTCTAACTGCAGGATTTTACACCTAGCTCAAATTGTTCTCAAGCTCTATCAACATACTCTGGTAGAGCCAACAACGAGATATGCAAATTGTATTCTTTTTTTGTTAATTTCATGTGGCAAACTGTGTGTAGATCTTTATCCAAGTTTCTGTCTCTGTACTATAACTTGTGATCTCTTGCTTCCTCTCTTGAGAAATGGAAAATAATCATCTTGGTAAAGGTAGAGGATGTCCTCTGTTTAGGTACTTTGATATGATTAATTGGGGTGCTCTAAAACGTAATTCAGGTTGTTGGTTTTTTTACATGCAATCGGTTCTCTATATATGGGATGAGACAAATATATAAATAAACAGGAAAAATGATCCCAGTACTAAAAAGTCTTTAATAAAACCTGTAGAAATACTAGAGTATAGAGAGAGTCCAATAGGTAGCTGTAGGGGATAGGATGGATATTTTGCCGGAGCTGCACCCTCTTTATCAGACAGGATCCTGGGAATCAGTCAAGAAGACAAGAGATGTGTTCTATAACCAATTCAAATTTTAATTGATACATCAGTTATACTTATACCCCATTTTCATGTCGGTGGGGGTCATTAAGCATTGTGACATAGTTTATTTTTCACAAGTTGTTTTCAGTTATAATTCGATGTTACATAATGTATGCATATTGGATAAAACCCAGATGATTACAAATACAGAAATCTTGGACAATTAACAAGGTCATTCCAGAATCCTTATCATGTCATGTCATGTCATGTCATGTCACGTCATGTCATGTCATGTCATGTCACGCATGTCAATATCTTCTTTCCAGGAACATGACAAAATCATGCTTCAATAACATTTCTGAGAATTGGAGATACAATTCCAAATTTATTCTTGATTCAAATTAACCCTTACATGAACAGTTAGGATATAGAGCAAAATGGATATTCATATCCTACAATTCCTCTCTTTAGATCATATCGTGATCTACCTTATGGAATATCCATGGGAGGCCTGCGGCAGAGAAACAAAAGGAGGTATATTCAGACGTGCTAATCACGTCTGCGGGACTTTCCTTATTTCTTCACCTCGATTTCCCCCATTTGCTCTATGCCGTAGGTTTTCCCTTTAAGAGGAGATCGAGCTGTCGATTTTCAGCTTTTGTAATCATCTGTTGTACACGTTTCTTAAGTGTGCAAGTTAGATAACAATTAAACAATATCATTATTGCAAGTATTATCACAATGATGACAAGAGGGTAGAAAAAGGACCTTACAACTTGTGCGCCAGTAGGGGACCAACCTGTGAGGGCATCATACCAATGATGAGCAAAATTTTCCTGGATTTTAGAACTAACTTTAATTAATTCCCTTTCAACTATGTGGGTGGATATTTCAGTATGTACTAAGGCATCTTTATGTGCTTTCAAATGTTTAAACATATCTCCTTTTCCTCTTAGTAAATTAATTATTATTCCTGTAGGAAGTTGATAATCAACGATAGGTAACGCAGGTGGAATATATTTTTTAGATCTGTATATACTAGGAATAGGTTGCAGGAAATAAGTATGATCTTTCCATTTTATCCAGGTTGCATTTGATATACATCCTACAAAGGGTAAATGTTTATCAACTTCGGGAATATTGACAGGTTGTTTGGTAGCTAGGCACACTATTTGTGGTTCTATTTCTAACATAACTGAATAATCCGATGGATATACATGCCAAGTACAACTACTTATTTGATTAGCTAATAAGCATGGTTCATAGATGGGTGAGGAATGTCTGCATGTGTAACCTTTATCTGCCTTGTCACAGTGTTCTAATGAATATGTTTTATTATCCTTGGGGAATATATATTCTCCTGTAAAAGTTGGATTCCACCAAGTAAGATTATCATTAAGTATATTAAACATAGGTGTAGGTAAAGTAAAGAACTTACATGCTAGTTTTATATGGGTTGGAGCGACTTCATATAAGGTAAATCCAATCCTACATGAATAACTCGATATCTCATCTTCTACCCATTCCTCACAATCTACATCATTTGACCTTAAACTAATCCAATAATTGTCAGTCAATTCCATCATTTCTCTGACTTTCTGTATTTTAGGTACCATAAGAGTATTCTCTAGTCTTAACCTTTGTTGATGCATCCATAAAACTCTAGTGGCACATAAGGTCCAGTCAGTGCTTCCTTTTGTTAGGTTAGTAATAGCATATGTTAGATTACCCAGATAGGTGTACATAGATTGTTCTAATTGTAATTCCTTCCATTGTGATTGTACCATGGTAGGGGCCCATTTAGCCATTACATGAAATCCTATCCCTAATTCTTTCCCTGCCGTGGATAACTTATTCTTTAGTATTTCCATGTCTACACCATTTAATATTCCCATAGCTGTTCCTGTACCCCCTAAGAGGGTATCATACCATTCTCTCTTCTCTCTATTAGGTAGTGGATTACATAATCGTACATCAGGTGTAGATATATTTAGTGTTATGTGTACAGCCTTCTGAATTATAGTAGTGTTTACACATGATGAGGGTATTGGAATATGGGAATAATTATGAACAGTAGGTGTAGTATGTGGGCTACAATATAATAAAACCGCGAACCAACCTCTGTTCTCTATTCTACTTCTATTATATATGATACGGACGTATCCTCTAGGCCATGTGGCATTATACATGCTATGAACATTATCAGGAGCGATAGAAGTAAGGGGAACTGGATTGTCTTGATCTAAGGAAACATTAGTATTTTGCAAATAATAAAATATTGAACCAACTCCTTTGTTTGTGAAAGGATAAGGTTCTGAAAATAGCCAAGCAAGAGTATAAAAACCAGTAGTGTTAGTAATTGTTATAGAGCAATTTACGGAATCATCATGCAATGGTTTGACCACTACTTGTGCAGTCTTTGCAGCAATGCATATTTGACCTTTAGTTGTAATATTAAGTACAAGGCAGGTTTTGCCGCCATTACATATAAAATCCTCTTGTGTTCTAGTCTCTTTAGCACGGCTCCACCAAAATACTGATTTAGAAGAACAATTGGTGTAAGTTTGCAAAGTCTTGTCTGTGGGTAGTGATCTTTTGTGTCTGGTTCTATTAGTAGGATGATCAAGGCCTAATTGGACACTGTAACTGGTGGAGTTGTGATCTTTCCAGAAGCAGACCTTCTGGAACTCTCTCATATTCTCATAATCATAGTGACAATCAAGAAGGACAATCAGCGGTAGGAAGAGAATCATGGAGAGAATTAGGATGATGAAAAAATTCTTTGCCCCATGCAAGGGATCCAATAGGTTTACTTTAGCCATAGCACTTCAGATAAGGATGTTGGGTCGTCAGGGCCAATCGGAGTAAGGACCTTAAGCTTGTCTCCTACTTCACCTCTCTTTGGACATGGCTTCAGACGGGATGCATGGATCCAGATATCTTGGGAATCGGTGAGCACAGCGGTTCGGGTCATGGCAATCACAGTGGTAGGCGGACCAAAAGGAAACTTTCCCTTCCTGCTCTTGTTCAGCTGTCGGATACAGACCAGATCACCAGGCTGATAAGGATGTGTAGGTTCCTGTGAGGGTAGAGGAAACTGCACGGAAACATCACCATATACAGAGTTGAGTTTAAAAATTAACTGTTTAACATATTCTTCCTGGATTAAGTCTAAATCACCAGGCATAATAACAAATCGTCCCTTCACCCAAGGAGTAGGAAATGGTCTTCCCATGAGTATCTCAAACGGTGACAATTTAGTAGTCCTGCTAGGGGTCATTCTTATTTCAGCTAAAATAGCAGGTAAGTATTTTTGCCAGTGAACCCATGTGCCATCTGTGGCCTTCATCAGTTTCTCCTTAATTGTCCTATTCATTCTTTCTACTATACCTGAACTCTGGGGATGGTAGGGTACATTAAATTTCCAGGTAACCTGTAACCATTTGGCCAGTTCCTGTGTAACTTTGCTAGCAAAGGCAGGGCCATTATCAGAATTGATCTGCAATGGGCAGCCATACCTAGGAATAATTTCAGTGGTCAGTATTTTCACCACAGTCCTAGCATCCTCCTTATTAGTAACAAAGGCCTCGGGCCATTTTGAGAAGTGATCCACAATCACCAGTAAGTATTGTTGTCGCTTACCTGTTTTGGGGATGTGGGTGAAATCTACCTGTAAATGGGTGAAAGGGCCTGTAGGTGGTGGGAGGTGTTCATGTCTAGCCTTATGTGTGACAGTAGTATTGGTCTGTAAGCATTGGACACACCTCTGTAAGTATACCTGACAGTGAAGAGAAAGATTCAAGATTACAAAATGTTGTTGAATAAGACCCAAAGTAACCTTAAGACCCTTGTGACCCACTCCGTGTGCCTGGGAAATAAAAATAGGGGCACTGCTTTCTGGTATCCCTATCTTCCCCTCTTTGGAATAAAGGCCATTTTGGTCTTTTTCCAAACCCTGTTTTTTCCAGTATGCAATATCTTCATGGGTTGCAAAACCCTGAAGTTCTTGCAACAACTGTTCTTCTGGGCAGGTAGGGGGACTAAAAATTGAAAATATCATAAGATAATAAATGGTCTGAGATGCTACCTCTTTGGCAATTCTATCTGCTAGTGCATTGCCTAGGGATATATCATCCCTACCTTGAGTGTGAGCTCTACAGTGAATGATAGACACTGTACGAGGAAGTTGTAAAGCATGCAAGAGGTCTTCAATTAATGTCTTATGAGAAATGCCTTTACCATCAGCTGCAATGAATCCTCTTTGTTTCCAAATCATTCCAAAATCATGCACAACCCCATGAGCGTAACGTGAGTCAGTGTAAATATTTACATCTTTGTTAGTGAATAGAGTGCATGCACGTGTGAGGGCAACCAACTCAGCAGCTTGGGCTGACATGTGGGGTATGGAGCTAGCCTCAAGGACCTTATCAGGTAATTGGACTACTGCATACCCAGTCTGGTACTGACCGTCAACAGGTCGGGAACAAGATCCATCCACAAACACATCCTCAGAACCTGGCTGAGGGGTATCCATGAGGTCTAAGCGTGGGGAGGTATGTGTATGTATAGTATGAATACAGTCATGTTCTTCTGGCTGAGTTTTGCTTAGATTAGGGTTGTCATGAGTAAGGATAGCATGCAGTACACTCATAGGGCCAGAATTAATAGGGCCGTACTTGATCTGTAAATTAGTAGAATTTAAGAGAATTATTTCATAACCACTTAATCTTTGTGCTGTCATGTGTTGTGTAGTGAGATTCTTGATCAAATGCAACACTTGGTGTGATGTATGGAGAATAGTGGGATGGCCCAGAGTGATAGTAGTAGCAGTCTCAACAGCCATTGCACAAGCAGCCAGGGCCCTAAGACACGCCGGCATCCCCTGAACCGGAACAGGGACTACTTTGGAGAAAAATGCTACAGGACGCATACCACCTCCATGTTCCTGAGCACAGACCGCAGCCATGGTTTTACAGTTGTCCCTTGCATAAAGATGAAATGGTTTACAATAATTAGGCAGTCCTAAAGCTGGGGCCTGCATAATGCCTACTTTAAGTGCCACATATGCATTGTCCATTTCAGGTGACCATCTGATGTAATCTGGGCTGTCCCCTTTTACAGCCATTCTCAAAATTGAGTCGTAGTATGAACATTCAGGTATCCACTGGCGACAGTAATTGATCATACCCAAGAAGGTGAGCAACTCCTTCTTTGTAACAGGTTTGGGTATCCTTTGTAGAGCTTCAATACGTTTGGAGCTGAGGGAGCGTGTGCCTTGTTGTAACACAAATCCCAGATAGTCAACCTTCTCTGCACCCAATTGGATTTTATGCTTGGCTACCTTGTGGCCTTCCAGTGCTAAATGTTTCAATAAGCTGACAGTGTCTTGTGTGCTGGCTTCCCAGTCAGGACTGCACAGCAGTATATCATCAACATACTGCAGCAGGACGGAACCATGACCAGGGGTCCATGACTTAAGGGTTTGTTGGAGCACCAGCGAATAAACAGCTGGTGAGTCCACGTAGCCCTGGGGAAGGCGAGTCCAGGTGTACTGAACCCCCTCAAAAGTGAAAGCCATAAGTAGTTGTGTCTCTTGGTCAACAGGGACCGAGAAAAATGCATTACTTAAGTCAATGACTGTAAAATACTTAGCTTCATGAGGAATGGCTGTTATCAGAGTGTTAACATCAGGGACAATGGGGGCTATTGGAATAATCAAATTGTTAATGGCCCTAAGGTCTTGAACAAATCTGTAGTCCTTGGTAGCCTTAGGGACCTTAGGGGAGTTATAGGGGGAGACTACAGGCCTGAGTATACCCTGTTGAAGGAAGGACTGGATCATAGGTCTGATCCCATCCTTCTTTTCCTGTGACAGGGGATACTGTTTAATATAAATTGGGCTGACATCAGGACGTAGTTTTGCTTTATAAGGGGTACAGTTTATGTATCCTACATCTAGCTTGGATGAAGCCCATACAGAAGCAGGTACCTCATCCATATCCATCTGCAGAAAAATTCCAGAGGATGGGGCAGTAAGGGAAACTGCCATGCCACCCTCAGGGGAAAAATCCACAGTTGTACCCAGTAGTCCAAGGAGATCCCTCCCTAGGAGACTAACAGGGCACCCTGGGATTAGGCTAAACTGGTGGCGTAGAGAAATAGGGGAGTGGGGTAATTTAATTTCCAAAGGGATAGTTTTGAAGGTTTTTGTTAACACTCCATTTATTCCCACAGAAGGTGTCGACTTTTCCCTTGAACCTCTATATACATCCATACAAATGGTGGAACAGGTTGCACCCGTGTCTACAATAAAGGGCATGTCCCTCCCATTTACATTGAGGACTATAAAGGGTTGTTCCATAAAATTAGAGGACAATACAGGAAAAGCTGGGGTGTTACCTTCTGGGCAGCCCTATGGCCATTGAATGTGATGGGTAGGGCCAGATGAAGTTTTAGGGCCAGAGGGGGTATTAGGGGCAGGAGAGCGATGCTGTGGGGGGTAGTGGGGCTGTTGGGGTATCCATGGGCGACCTGGGGTCTGTTCAGCCTGTCCAGTCTTTTGTCTGATAGGGTTGGGGCACTCATTCATCCAGTGTCCCTGCCTTCCACAGTTAAAACAATATGTCCTTCTATTAGTAAATGGTTGGGACCTATTTCCTCCACGTCCTCTTCCCCCTGGACCCCTAAATCCTCTTTGGTTTAATCTCCTATCACCTCCAAAATCTCTCTGTCTTGCACGATTAGGATCACAATGCTGTAAACCCTGTGACTGATACAACATACTCTTTCCATCTTTACCAATAGCAAAACAACCTGCTGCTTCTCTCTCATGTATTTTCTGCAAGAATTTAACTGGAGTTAAAGTTGACCACTCTGAAATCAGCTGTTTAACTAGCAGTGAATATGCTGGAAGCATATTCCCAATGCAAGTCTGTATTTTTAAAGAACCCATACCACTTTCCTCTGAACCAAGTCCAGCTTCATCTTTCCAACATTTATAAAACCTTTTAGTGAATTCTGTCACTGTCTCCTTTGTGCCCTGTTTACAGGACAAAGCAGTGGAGATAGACTGCTTGTCTTTCCATAATCTCATCATCTCTGTTTTTACTTCATCCCACATAATGTCTCTCCCTTTTTCCGTGGCTAATGGATAAGTACTCACTGTGGTTCCATCAAGTGGAACACTGACAGTGGTTACTCTATTCCATTCCCACCCAGATTCTGAGTCATAATCTAATAGTCCATCAATAATTAACTTTATGTCAATCTGTGTCATATTCTGTCCTTGGCACATTCTCTTCAAGTACATAATACATGCAGAAGGATTCGTTCTAGGATTTGGAGCTCCTTTAATTATGTCCTTCAATTCTCCTGGAGTTAAAGGTTTCAAAATTAATTGATCTCCAACAGTCAGAAAAGGATATGTCTGTTGTGTGTCTAATTCATCAAATTCTTCTTCCCCTTCCTCCTCTCCATCATCTTTATCTGTTCTTTTAACACCCAGCCCCATCTTTTTCTTATACCTAGTCTGGATACCCTTAGGGGACCTTCGCTGAATTTGTTTAACCTTCTCATCTTGGGGAGAAAGGGAACTTGATGGAGCAGTGGCTATTCTTTGTGATCCAACTGCTACAGCAAGAACTAAATCATCGTCATTTTTAGGTGATAGGTTAGGATATAGTGGGCTAAAGTATGGGGTGTAATTAGGAGGAGGCTGTGATTTGCAGGTATTAACAACAGTTTCTTTAATTTTCTTTTTATTCTTTTTATTCTTTTTTATCCTTTTCCCCTCTTGGGAAACAGGGTACCAGTGAGGTGCAACCTTAAGCCAATTCTCACCCCCCTGTCTCATGTATTCTTTGTCCCATTCTGGATCTCCCTCATACCAAGGAAAAGATTTCTTATCTTCCAAACATAATCCCTTAACCATACTCAGAAAATAATCATCATTAGCCCCGTCTTTAGGGAAGGGAGTTTCACTGCCCTGTCCTTGTGTCCACCCTGACAAATTGTCCACCCAAGGATCCACTAAATAATCCCCCAGTTCACCAACTCTAGCAACATACTGCTTGCAAGTCTCCCCTGGATTAGGGCGAGGGTATTTTTTAGACTGGGAAGTACCCATTTCAAACTCAATAAGAATCGGATTTGGAATAGCTGATTATTCAGTGGTTAAAGAACAGCTGTCTGGAATCAAAAGTTCCCACAAAACTGTTACTTCTCCACGAGCAGTATCGCTTAAAACCAGAAATTCCAATTCCTTGCACAATTATATAAAAAGCCACCAAATATATTGCATGCAAAAAAAAAGTTGCAGGACAGCCAAAATACCCATCAAGTACAGAGTTAACAATTCTTTTTTTTTTTTTTAGCTTAACAAACTAACAACTAAGTTAAATCAATACCAAAGTCCACCAAAGACTGGAAATCTGTTTTACAACCTACCAAAGGTAACCTCTACCAAAGAGGGGTCTAGGGACGTCTCCCATAGACAAGTAAGGCTTTACTCCTACCCAAGGAGACCTTATAAAATCTTAAATCCCCTTTCAATAAAAACGTAGTTATGCAATGTATGAAGGATGGAAAAAGAAAAGTAAAAGAACAAAGGTGAAAAAGACACCCAATTCTCTTACCTGATCTCTTTCGTTCCGTTCACAAATGCACCCCAAAAACTTCTGACACCAATTTGTAGGGGATAGGATGGATATTTTGCCGGAGCTGCACCCTCTTTATCAGACAGGATCCTGGGAATCAGTCAAGAAGACAAGAGATGTGTTCTATAACCAATTCAAATTTTAATTGATACATCAGTTATACTTATACCCCATTTTCATGTCGGTGGGGGTCATTGAGCATTGTGACATAGTTTATTTTTCACAAGTTGTTTTCAGTTATAATTCGATGTTACATAATGTATGCATATTGGATAAAACCCAGATGATTACAAATACAGAAATCTTGGACAATTAACAAGGTCATTCCAGAATCCTTATCATGTCATGTCATGTCATGTCATGTCATGTCACGCCATGTCATGTCACGCCATGTCATGTCATGTCATGTCATGTCACGCAAATATCTTCTTTCCAGGAACATGACAAAATCATGCTTCAATAACATTTCTGAGAATTGGAGATACAATTCCAAATTTATTCTTGATTCAAATTAACCCTTACATGAACAGTTAGGATATAGAGCAAAATGGATATTCATATCCTACACTGTTAGCGTGTTAGGTTCCGGAATCGTGACAGGGGTGGGGTGTGAGAGGACCGACTACAGAGGAAAATCAGTCTGGCGGCAGCGTTCATTACAGACTGTAGCGGGGAAATACAGCTATTGGGAAGACCAATTAGGAGAGAGTTACAATAGTCCATGTGAGAGATTACTAGAGCATGTACAAGCTCTTTAGTAGCGTCTTGTGTAAGAAAGGGGCGGATGCGGGCAATGTTTTTGAGGTGGAATTGGCATGATTTGACAACAGACCGGATGTGAGGCTCAAAGGTGAGGCCAGAATCAAAAGTAACACCAAGACAACGGGCTTGTAAGGATGGGCTCATATGGGTACTACCAATCTGAAGGGAGAGTGAGAGAGGAGGATTAATATTAGGAGGAGGAAAGACAAGAAGTTCTGTTTTGGAAAGATTCAGTTTCAGAAAGCGGGAGGCCATCCAATCAGAGATAGAAGAAAGGCAAGAGGTGACACGTTGCAGGACATCAGGGGAGAGGTCTGGGGAGGAGAGATATATCTGGGTGTCATCGGCGTACAGGTGGTATTTGAATCCAAAAGCGGTAATAAGCTTGCCAAGAGAGGCAGTGTAAAGAGAAAATAGAAGGGGACCAAGGACAGAGCCTCGAGGGACTCCAACTGAAACAGGACGAATGGTGGAGGTATCATTAGAAAAGGAGACACTGAATGAGCGTTGGGAGAGATAGGAGGAAAATCATGAGAGGACAGAGTCACAGAGACCGAGTTATTGAAGAGTTTGAAGAAGGAGAACATGATCAACAGTGTCAAAAGCAGCGGAGAGGTCAAGAAGAATTAGTATGGAGTGGTGGCCTTTGGATTTAGCTGTGATAAGGTCATTAGTGACTTTGATAAGGGCAGTCTCAGTAGAGTGGAGGGGGCGGAAGCCGGACTGAAGAGGGTCGAGGAGAGAGTAGGAGTTAAGGAAGCAGGCCAAATAGGTGAAGACTAGTCTTTCAAGAAGCTTTGAGGAAAAAGGGAGCAGGGATATAGGACGATAGTTAGAGGGGGAGGATGGGTCGAGACATGTTTTTTTTAAAGATGGGTACTACAGTAGCATGTTTCAGGACAGCAGGAACAGTGCCAGAAGAAAGAGAGCAGTTGAAGATGTTTGTTAAGGAGGGCATAAGACAAGAAGAGAGAGATCTAATAAGGTGAGACGGGACAGGATCAAGTGGGCAAGTGATCAATTAGGACATTATACTATCATGGGCGTAATATAAATGGAAGGGGTAGAGACGGGTAGTAAAATGTATGGAATGCATTTCTGACAGTGTCACTGAATGACAGTTAGGAAATGTGGTCACCCTATGTCAGGGGCAGTATTACACAATCTGTATATATAAAAGAGAAAAAGTAATCTGTAAAGTACAAAATGTTTGTGTCATATGTCGTGCTAAAAATTAAACTAGGAATATGCATATTTTTTAATTTTTAAAAAATAATTTTTAGAATAATGATACAGACATTTTATTTCTTACATTTGTGATGATTCTTTTTTCCTCTCTATATTCAAGGGACACTATAGTCACCAGAACCACAACAGCTAAACGTAGTAGTTCTGGTGTCTATAGCATGTATTTGTAAGCTTTTTAATGTAGGCACTGCCATTTCGTTAAAAGGCAGTATTTACATTACTGCTGAGGAATACCTCTAGTGGACACTCAGATGGCCACTAGAGGTGCTTCCTAGTCGAGACATGAATGCCGCCCTATGAAGTATCTGCACATGTGCGGCAAAGCTGCGCATGCGCACCAGAGAGCAATGACGCTTCTGAATAGAAGCGTTTTATTGCTCCCTGCTCGCACCCTCCTATTTCATCATTTTGACTAAATAGGGGACGCGGCATCAGGAGGATCACGGTGCTGTATCCGGGTAAGTAAAATCCCATCCCAGTAGTGACCCTTTAATGTTATTATTTAATCATTTATACAGCAACTGCAAATTCCGTAGCGCTGTACAATGGGATAAACAACTCCTAGTTTACGGAATAAGAATATACCCGGCGATTAAAAATGCTATCCCCCCCAGATTTTTTTGGGTTCCTACGCCCATGTACTATCACCTAATTTTTACCCTGAGTACAAAGGGTTAATTTGTTTTCAATTACGTCACCTTATGCCCTCCAATCTGGTTGGTGGAATGGAGATCTAATCGGTATGGAGGGTGGGATATTTAAACTACCGACTCACTCTGACCCAGTTCCCTTGGAAGAGCCGGTATTTGGCCAAACGCACATCAGGACTTTTAGAGCAGTGTGTGGCATGGGCAGACAGGGGATGATGCTGCAGCTATTTATATTTCCCAGATTAGTCACCTAGCTTTAATTTTTAACTCACTATATCTTGTATGGATATATAGCTGCTAGTTAGTTTCGGCTATTCTTTTAGCAAAGGGGGAAAGCTGTTTGACGCTAGTTTGGCACTGCGTGATGGGAGTTGGAGAAATTTATTATTATTACTTTTTGGTTCTTTGACTTTTGATATTATTCTACTATCACCCCTCATTGTCACAGGTACTATAACCACATATTACTTCAGTACTTTTTAGCATTAATTTCCCCTCTCTCCCCCACTTGTGTGTAAATATATTACTTTTAGTTAAGTTTCAATAAAAGTGATGTTTTAACCAATACTAGTTTATAGAGGTTGCTTTAGCATATGCAAGGGTTAGGTCAAGAGACTTTAAGACTTATTTATCTCTGGCCTTGCCTTCCTCTCTCGCTCTCATTTGTAATTCTATTAATGTATTTATGTTTAAATCTTTTATTCGGTTTATTATATAATCAGTCTTATTTGATTTTTCATTTCCTACTGCACTATACCTTTACTGG